TTATGGTCCAAGTCTCACATCTGTACATGACTACTGGAAAAACCATAGCTTTGACTATAGGGACTTGTTCAGCAAAGTGGTGTCTCTGCTTTTTAATATGCTGTCTAGGTTTGGCATACCTTTCCTTTCAAGGAGCAAGCGTCTTTTAATTTCATGGCTGCAGGCACCATCAGCAGTGATTTTGGAGCCCAAGAAAATAAAATCTGCCACTGCTTCCACTTTTTTCCCTTATATTTGCCATGAAGTGATGGGACCAGATGCCATGATCTTGGTTTTTTATTGTTGAGTTTCAAGCCAGCTATTTTTCACAAAGCCAGTTTAAAATGAAATGTCAAAGAAAAGTAATTGATGATGACAGCCTTGTATTATATTGTTTTACTTGAATTATCCAATGTGTTAGAACACAAATGGTGTGTGTGCATGTGTAAAAATGAATGTGGACTGAAGTGTAATGTAAGCAAAACTGAAAGAGCATCTTACATTTTCCCAGCCTAAAAGGGCATCTAAATAAGATGTGGCTCTCAATGTCACCAGCTTCCTCTTTTTGTATCCTGTACTCATACTGATGCCATCAACGAAGAATTCTTATCTTGTGAGTCCTTTTGGAAACTACAAAGGAAGGCTATGAACATTTTGAAAAGAGTAAACATATTGTTTACCATATAAAACTGTTGGGAAGAAAACTTTGTATTCTGCACAGATGGAGCCCCTGAGATGCTTGGTAAAGCATCTCCTTTTACTACTTTCATAAGAAAGGAAACTCTTCATACCACTCATTGTCTTTCTACTTAGACAAGCACTGGCAAAAAGATTCTTCTAACAGCCCTGAAAAAGAGGTTTTGTCAATAGCCACAAATGCCATCAACTTTATCAGAGGCAGATCTTTGAGTCAAATGCATTTAAAATTTGTTTTGTAAAGATATGAGAGCAAAACATAAATTCCTTCTGTACCACAAGGAAGTTTGCTGGTTTTCATAAAGATATGCCTTCAAGCACATTTTCAAACTAAGGGCAGAAGTTTTACTTGAACAGAAAGTTTAAAAACAAAGAAGGAAAAGAAAATCCACTCTTGGGACATTACAAGAGTTTTGTTTTTCATGTATGGCTTACCTGACATATACTTTTGATCATGCGGATGAGTTAAACCTTTCAACTCAATGTTATGAGGTCAATGTTATAAATGCTTCTTAAAAAATTTAAAAAACGTTTTCAGTTAAGTGATTAATAAGGAAGAAACTGAAGATATGCTTTTCTAAGACAGAGTTGTAATAAAAAATTCTGTCAAATTTCTTTGAAAAGAGAAATCTGCAAATTTCTGGAACACTTTAGAAGTCTTTCAAAAGTTATTTCTACCTTATGGCTTCTAAGTCGAACCACAGATATGCAGTCCATTTCTTTCTTAAATAAACTGAATCAAAGATGTTAAGATGTTGATCTATCCAAAGATGAATTCATTCATCTTTGAACAAAAAACTACAGTTGAAGTTTAACTCAAACATACTGGAAGAATTCTAGTATTCCTTGAAAAAGTATTGTTCTTGCCTTGATTCAAAAAACTGTTGAAGGTTTAACTTCATTTGTAAAAATAAACCTTTTAAAAATATTTAATTTCATTTTTATTTATCTGGGTGCACCAGGTCTTAGTTGTGGCATGCGGATCTTTGGTCTTCATTGCATCATGCAGGATTTTTAGTTGCAGTTTGTAAAGTCTTAGTTGCAGCTTGTGGGACCTAGTTTCCTGACCAGGAATGGAACTCAGGCCTCTTGCATTGGGAATATGGAGTCTTAGCCACTGGACCATCAGGGAAGTCCTTTCCTGTTTTTGTTTTTTTTTTTAAAATCTTTGGTCAGTTATTTCTTTTCCCACACTTGACCTGTTCTAGAACCCCGCCCAACATGCATGCATAACTTTTTGCTAAGATGGATTCCACCACAGAAACCTGTAGGGGTTTGTCCACACTTATTATGGGGTTGTGCCCCCTCCCTTTTTGACCCCTAAGGAGCCTTCCTGCACATGTGCAGACAGGGAAGTTTTCCTTGATCTCAGGAGTGGTGATTTTATCTTTTTATTTCAGCACAGCTCAGCTTCTGTCCTTGGAGTGTCTGGAGAAAGCAAAGCTTCAATTTTACTACAGTTGAAAAACACCAGCTTTCCAGTCCAGGGGCCCATCCATCTCCTACCTCAGTGCCATTCACTGGAAAAAGAGCAGGCTTATGGGAGAACATAAGGTCAGACTTGAATTTATGGGTGTGAAGTTGTTGCAGGGAAAAGCCCATTCTGACTCCACACTGGAGGTGCTTCTTAGACTTGCTTTTCATTACTTTTGTTATTATAATCATTTGTAAGTCCTGCCTCAGAGAATCCTGCTCCTCTGCCTGTTAAAGTGCCTTTGTTCAGAGTCCTGTCCACCTGTAGATGGCAAGAGGTAAGAAATTTAACAAATCCACTGTCTGAGGCTTGCTATTCTAGGAGATCTTTGCAAGATCAATGGCCTTTTTATTTTGTTTCCTCACCTCCCCCCATGGCTGATCTATTAAAAAAAACCTGGCAAGATAGTTATTTTGAGATAATAGTCTGCCAGCTTCTCAGTCAATCAGCTCTCCAAATGAAGTTGCATTCCTTGCCTCAAGCGCTGGTCTCCGGTCTTTGGCCTGTCCCGGGGCGAGCAGAGGAAGCTTGGATTCTGGTAACAAGGTGACACCGAGGATGCTCAGCAAACTTCTGGCCCCACTGGTCTGAAGATCAGAAGAGGAGCTTGGCATGGGAAGCCATCTGTGTCCGTACGGTAAGAGGCCATTAGGCAGCTCTCCTTTTCCTCTGGACCTTACTTCAATATCTGTAGAGGTTGCACTGTTTCTCTATGAATGTTGGGGATAACAGCAGTGGACAAAGTTGGGTGTGTGTGCCTTCAAACCATTTTACCCTTTACCTCTCTAAACTTGTTCTTAATCTGTAAAATTAAGACAATAATGAGATTGAAAGAGGAGTTGATGCGATGCCACTTGGCCTTTTCTGTTTTTCACGTTTGTTTCTGGTCCTCTAGAGCCAGAAGACTAGATAGCTGGTTACTCTCGCTTTTATAGTCCTTCCGCGTCGGGTCTTCTGCGCAGGCGCCCTGGACCGCCCCGGGGCAGGGTGGGGGTGGGCGGGCCCGAAGCCTAGCAGGTCTTCCCCCGGGCCAGGGCCCGCGAGGGGTGGAGGGAAGCAGGCTGCCCTGACGTCATCAGGCTGCGCGGCCCGCAGGGCGGGACCCGAGCGCGACAAGGCGGCCAGCGGACCGGGGCGGGCTATTGGGGAAGCGAAACTGAGGGAGGAGGCGGCGGCTCTGGCAGTGGCTGGGCCAGGCCTGGCGGCGGCGGCATCTGCGGCCTAACCGCCCCCCCTCTCCGCTCCTTGGCAGGTCGCCCTCTTCCCTCAGCGTGAGTGCCGACGCGCGGCCCCGGGTGGGGGGTGCGGCGAGCGGGCGGGCGCGCGGGGCTCAGCATCCTCACGTCCGCCGCCGCCGCCTCGGCCCCCGCGCTGGCGGTCGTGACCCTCGTCGCCCCTTCTCTCTCCCGTCCTCCCTTATACCCCCCGTCTCTTCCCCCGCGCCCTGTCTTCAGTCCACCAGCCGCTGCTGACACGTCTTTGCGCACATATTCTTCACACACTCACGTTGTCTACAAATGGGAAGGCTGGCCGGGGGGGACGCGAGCTCATTTCTTCCCTCTCGTGATAAGGGGTGGCGGTGCGAAATCCAGGCCTGGGGAGATGGAAAGGGGATCTGAACCCCTTCCCTAGGAGAGCAGTGAGTCGAAGCCGGCCTTCTGCCTTCCTCTTAGGAGTTCCCTGCATTCTTATGGGTGTGTAGTTCACTTGAGCTGTGGTGGGTAGGTCGGTTGTCTGCGCGGCCTTCCCCTCTCAGGCCTCAGTTCCTTGCAGTGGCAAAGGAAAGAGGGTTGGATAAGGTGGTTTGGAAGGTCCAAATCCAGGATGTGTAGGGGCGGAGCACCAGTGTCTCCTGCCTTTTGCACAGTTTCCATAGAGAATCCTGCTCCTCTGCCTGTTAAAGCGCCTTTGTTCAGAGTCCTGTCCACCTGTAGATGGCAAGAGGTAAGAAATTTAACAAATCCACTGTCTGAGGCTTGCTATTCTAGGAGATCTTTGCAAGATCAATGGCCTTTTTGTTTCCTCACCTCCCCCCATCGCTGATCTATTAAAAAAAAAACCTGGCAAGATAGTTATTTTGAGATAATAGTCTGCCAGCTTCTCAGTCAATCAGCTCTCCAAATGAAGTTGCATTCATTGCCTCAAGCGCTGGTCTCCGGTCTTTGGCCTGTCCCGGGGTGAGCAGAGGAAGCTTGGATTCTGGTAACAAGGTGACACCGAGGATGCTCAGCAAACTTCTGGCCCCACTGGTCTGAAGATCAGAAGAGGAGCTTGGCATGGGAAGCCATCTGTGTCCGTACGGTAAGAGGCCATTAGGCAGCTCTCCTTTTCCTCTGGACCTTACTTCAATATCTGTAGAGGTTGCACTGTTTCTCTATGAATGTTGGGGATAACAGCAGTGGACAAAGTTGGGTGTGTGTGCCTTCAAACCATTTTACCCTTTACCTCTCTAAACTTGTTCTTAATCTGTAAAATTAAGACAATAATGAGATTGAAAGAGGAGTTGATGCGATGCCACTTGGCCTTTTCTGTTTTTCACGTTTGTTTCCGGTCCTCTAGAGCCAGAAGACTAGATAGCTGGTTACTCTCGCTTTTATAGTCCTTCCGCGTCGGGTCTTCTGCGCAGGCGCCCTGGACCGCCCCGGGGCAGGGTGGGGGTGGGCGGGCCCGAAGCCTAGCAGGTCTTCCCCCGGGCCAGGGCCCGCGAGGGGTGGAGGGAAGCAGGCTGCCCTGACGTCATCAGGCTGCGCGGCCCGCAGGGCGGGACCCGAGCGCGACAAGGCGGCCAGCGGACCGGGGCGGGCTATTGGGGAAGCGAAACTGAGGGAGGAGGCGGCGGCTCTGGCAGTGGCTGGGCCAGGCCTGGCGGCGGCGGCATCTGCGGCCTAACCGCCCCCCCTCTCCGCTCCTTGGCAGGTCGCCCTCTTCCCTCAGCGTGAGTGCCGACGCGCGGCCCCGGGTGGGGGGTGCGGCGAGCGGGCGGGCGCGCGGGGCTCAGCATCCTCACGTCCGCCGCCGCCGCCTCGGCCCCCGCGCTGGCGGTCGTGACCCTCGTCGCCCCTTCTCTCTCCCGTCCTCCCTTATACCCCCCGTCTCTTCCCCCGCGCCCTGTCTTCAGTCCACCAGCCGCTGCTGACACGTCTTTGCGCACATATTCTTCACACACTCACGTTGTCTACAAATGGGAAGGCTGGCCGGGGGGGACGCGAGCTCATTTCTTCCCTCTCGTGATAAGGGGTGGCGGTGCGAAATCCAGGCCTGGGGAGATGGAAAGGGGATCTGAACCCCTTCCCTAGGAGAGCAGTGAGTCGAAGCCGGCCTTCTGCCTTCCTCTTAGGAGTTCCCTGCATTCTTATGGGTGTGTAGTTCACTTGAGCTGTGGTGGGTAGGTCGGTTGTCTGCGCGGCCTTCCCCTCTCGGGCCTCAGTTCCTTGCAGTGGCAAAGGAAAGAGGGTTGGATAAGGTGGTTTGGAAGGTCCAAATCCAGGATGTGTAGGGGCGGAGCACCAGTGTCTCCTGCCTTTTGCACAGTTTCCATTTCTTTTCTTGCATCCATCTCAACACAGTTCTTGAGTTTCCTGTGCTTCTAGTCTCCCCCAGAGGTGCTAGGAATCAGAGGGCCCTTAGCTTAGGTTATGGGCCTTGGAGGTGGTGGTGGTGGTGATTGCGGGGGCGGGGGGAGGGGGGCTGCTTTTTAAGACCCTGGCTTAAAGTTAAATGTAGCTCAGCCTGGTTTTGCTTTCTGTTTGTTCAGCATCTCCTGTTCTTCCTTCTTCCTCAGGATAGCTCCTGCCTATGCCTAGTTAAGAGGCTTCCTCCTTAGAAAGGAGGAGATTGTGTGTTGGGTTGGCTGGCTCATCCTTGAGCTGGAGAGACGTGAAACGTGATTCATGTTTGAATCATGAGAGATCAGTGATATCTTTGGATTTCAGCACTCTGTTGCTGTCCTGACCCATGCTGTTCGCCTGCCCTTGTGCCCCGGCAGCTCCCCTTCCCCAGGGAGTTGCAGGCCAGCTGAGCATCCACCTGTTTGCTCTTATCTTTGAGTACTTTCTCTTTTCTGAGTCCTCTTATAGCCAACAGTTGTGTATAAACCACTCTGTTTTCACCTACTCTTGTTTTTCAATTTAATCATTGCTTGAGGAATGATTTCAGGAATCTCATTATTACTTCATTCCATCTCATTTTCCCCCTCTTTTTTGTTTCCCATGCTTACCCACGGGCATGGATGATGGTGACACGGTGCCTCGCCTCCTTCCATTCTTTTTTTGTGGAGGCGGGTTCCTGTTCTTAAAATTGCTGGTTTTGTACCTGAGTCCTATGGTATAAGTCTGGTCCTGCTAACTTTCCCACTCTTCCGTTTTTTTAGTCAAGTCAACCACTGCTTCCGTTCCTTACTCCATTCAAAAACTTTCCCAATTCTCCCATGTTTTCAAACATCCTGAAGTAAACCAAAAACCAGTGTTTGTATCATATTGTGTAATCTCTTAATTTTCCTGGTGAAATAATGCGATGGAGTAGTCTTTCTGGGATGGTCTTTTCACCTTGAAAATATTTGTTGATAGTCATTAGGTTTCATGATTAATTTCCAGTGTACTTATTGTCACACGTGTCCCTTGTTGCATCAGAACTATAGAATAGCAAGTACCTAAGGCCTTTTTTTCCCTTGTGGCTTATGGAGTTGATCCATGACTTTTTAGTATTTGACACCAGTGGCCCAGAGACCTCTGGGTCTGTGAGCACCACATTTTCCAGTAAAAACTGACAGCTCTTATTGAAAACCAGAGCTTGGCTAGCCTTCCTGGATATCATTCTGAGGAAGAAGCTGTTCAAGCACTGGCACTGGCAGCTGTTTGGAGTTGCCAGCTTTCATCCCATTAATGGTTTACTCTCTGGAATTCCCTGCTGTGATCCTAGTGGCTCTGACCAGGGCAGCTGACTATCTGGATTTATGGTTGCAGTAACAATGAAGAGGAGAAATGATTCAGAATGCACTGCCCCTCTCAAGAAACAGAAGAAAAGAGTTGCTGAGCTTGCCCTGAACCTCAGCTCCACATCTGATGATGAGCCTCCCTCCTCTGTCAATCATGCAGCAAAAGGTAAGCTTGCTTCTGTGGTCAGAGATCACTGACCATCTGGCTGCTTGAATCCCTGATGCCTCAGTTGGGCAGAATACAGTCCACTGCCCCATGAGGGAAATTCTGCAAATTCTACTGAGATATATCGGCTGTAGACTTTCTCTTTTGCCATTCTCCTGTTGGGAGTTGGGAATGTGTTATAACTAAAATACTGGACTTTCTACAGGTGTGCCTTAGTTCTGTTGTGGTCCTTCAGTGAGTGGCACTCTTGCTGCCTTCAGCCAGGTGGATATAGTGGTGAGCCTTGAGTGCCCCTTGCTCTCAGCTGTTAATGATCCTGGGGCTCTTTCACAGGGCTGGGCTCTTTGCTGTGGTGATCTGGCTTAACTTCCCTCAGGTTTTTGCATTCTGTTTTCTTAGTTCCCTTGGCAGTTATGGTCAGAAACACCCGAAGGAATTGGAGCATCCCTGTGTTCACTGTTTGCATTAAGCTTTAAGGATTTCACTGATCTGGTTGAAACGAGCATTTTACTTTGCTTGTTTTCCAGGGTTACAGATGTTCAGTTTCCTCGGGTGCTTTCTGTGAAGCTTTCTGTCTCGGAGCTTGCCTGAAATACCAAACAATTAGCAGTAGCCCTGTTTGCATTTTCCTTGAGTTGCCAGCTGTATTAACTTCCTAACAGTACTGTGAACTGGTTAGCTTAAAACAACAGAAATATATTCTCCAGACTTCTGGAGGCTGGAAGTCTAAAATGAAGGTTACAGCAGGACCTTGCTCCCTCCCAGGGCTGTAAGAAGGAATCCTGCCTTGCCTCTTTTTGTTTCTGCTGCTGCTGCTGCTAAGTCACGTCAGTCATGTCCAACTCTGTGTGACCCCATAGACGGCAGCCCACCAGGCTCCCGTCCCTGGGATTCTCCAAGCAAGAATACTGGAGTGGGCTGCCATTTCCATCTCCAGTGCATGAAAGTAAAAAATGAAAGTGAAGTCGCTCAGTCGTGTCCGACTCTACAGTCCTGGTAGGACTGTAGCCTACCAGGCTCCTCCATCCATGGGATTCTCCAGGCAAGAGTACTGGAGTGGGGTGCCATTGCTATCTTCTTGTTTCTGCTAGTTGCTGGCAATTCCTGGTGTTCCTGCAGCAGCATAACTCCAGTCTTTGTCTTTGTGTGTGTCTGTGTTCAAATTCCCTCTTCTTAGGAGGATAGCAGTCATTGGATAAGGGCCCACCCGAATCCAGTATGACCTCATCTTTATTCTATTACATCCGCAGAGACCCTGTTTCCAAATGCCATGTTCCCAGTGCTGAGTGGATATGATGTTTTGGACGCCCAGTACCCCCAGCAGTCTTGCATTTTTGTATCCTCTGCTGGATCAATGGTAAATTGGAATGAAATTTGGTGACAGATTGGTGACTGAAATAGTGTGAAGCATCCCCTTGAGGGTGATAGAAAATACAGTTTATTCTCAAGAGGCTGGCTAATTGAAGGGCGGTTACTCATCAGGTGTACTGAGTAGCTGGTCCAGAAGGGAGGAACTTGACAGACCTTGCAGACAGCTAATGAAGCATTTGGTGCGGCCTTGATCCCCGCTAGATAAGAGACTCTTCTTATAACCTTCTGTGTGGGGATAGGTGCGCCTTTGAAGTTGTCACAGATTTTAGGGTGGGTGGGAAAGGGTTTATGTCATTGAGGTTGCTAATTTGGGAAGGCAAAAGTATATTGGGCGAATCGCTTCTGGCAACTGTTGAGGAAGGGGATTTTGCTTATCACCTGGGATTTGAGCAACTTGAAGGTAGAATCTTCAGTCTTGAGCAGGAGAAATGGCCTGCATGGGGGAAGGGAATGTGTGCCTAGGGGAATACTTAGGTGGTGGAGGTATCTGGTCCTGAGTGGATCTCGGGGGACATTTGCTGTCAAGAGAATGACTCCCAGGAGATGAAGGTTATACTTAACCCTCTTTCAAGGGAACCAGTCTAATTTAAATTTCAAGCTTTTAAAAATGTGACTGTGAATTGCGATTATTCCCCCTGCCTTCCATTCTCCCACAAACTCCCCTTAATTCTGCCAAATGACTTTAACCTTTTCAGAAGTAGCACCATGTGACTCAGTCAGGTTTGACTGTTTCTGTTGTGTGTACAGAATGGAAATCTAGAGGTGGCCAGTACGTTGTATATGTCATTTGGTCCCTTTGATTTGCAGAAAAATGAGGCAGAGGCAAACATTGTTAACTTCCCCGGTCAGCTTATTTTAGGGAGGGGCAGTTCCACAGAAAACTCTGAGGGTGAGTGTCTGATGTCTTCATCAGCAAGACTGCTGTCTGTGCCCCTCCCCTTGCAGCCACATGCCTGACATGGAATAAATGGCTCAGTACATGGGAATGACAGAGGATGAGATGGTTGCATGGCATCACCGACTCAATGGACATGATTCTGAGTAAACCCAGGAGTTGGTGATGGACAGGGAGGCCTGGCGTGCTGCAGCACATGGGGTCGCAAAGAGTCGGACACGACTGAGCAGCTGAACTGAACTATTTACTGAATAGAACTGATGGAAAGCAACAGTGGTATCTTTTCTAAGACCCTTAAAATGCTTCACCTCTTTGATTGTGCCCCTGCTCCAGTCTGCAGAGGATCATTTCATTAAGTACTTTGCATTAATATCATCTCCTTCTGTGTTGATTTCTCTCAGACATCCCCTGGACAGTGTGCTCTGGTAGTTTTCTGTCTCCCCAGAAACTGCATATTCCCTGAGAGCTCTCTGTGGCTTTCCTGTTCAAGACAATGCATTAAAGCAGGTGTGTTTCCTCTCCAACCGCTTCTACCTGGACATACTGTTGAATAGATGATTGAAATATGCTCTTTAGGGAGTTCAGATAGAAAACCAAAAAATCAGTAGTTGCTGTTTCTGTCTGTCTGGGCCTTGTTTGTGCTTCTTTTGCTAGATCAATGTGGTGACTCATTAATAGATCTATTTATTTTATTTATTTATTTATTTATTATTATTAGATCTATTGTTTATTTTGCATTATTGACAGGGTAGCTGCATTGCCAGTCTGAGACTGACGTCTGACCAGACTAAGGAAGAAAAGGGATGTTGTTGTCATGGCCACTGGGTCATCATGTGTTGAGTATTTTGAGAGGAGTTTGAAGGCATTTTCAAGCCTAAATAAACTCTTGGAAATTAAGCAAGGAGAGGCAGATGGCAGTCATTTTGTTCTTATCCTGGATAAGTTGGTCTAGACCCCAAGACAATTTCCTTTTCTCCTCAGCTGCTCATCTTGTGTGGGCTCCCAGCCCTCCCATAGCGTGTTGCTCTGGAAGTTGCTGGGCTCCTTCAGCCGAAAGTGCCTTCCCCTCCACCAGGTTTAATTCTTCCCTAAATAGGCTATTTCCCCTGAAACACCATCGTTTTCCTGTCAGCCCAGATTCATGACCTTAATCAAAAACTTCCTTTATCGGTATCTGTTTAAATTGCTCTAACGAGTTACCATTTGTCTGGCATGAAGGAGAAATTGAGTCTTTAAACAGGAGTGAGTGTATTCCACAGCAGTTGTTAGGCAGGATGTGATGTTATTGACGTACGTAATTTATTCTTCTGCATCTGTGTGCTGCTCACCTTGACCATTAGTGGTTGGAGCTGTCCCTCCTTGTGTGTTGTCCCTGTTATTTTTAATCCTGACATGTTTGACCTGTTGTTATATTATGAAAAATTCTGTCAGTAGCTGGGAAACCTCTGATTCTTCTCTAAAATAAACCTCTTGTCTTTAAAATGTTTTAAGAGTAATGATTTCTATCAGGTAGAGAAGAAATCATAAGTGAAACATGGAAGAATGTCTTGGGCTCTCGGGTAGGTTTTAGAAGGGAAGCTCCTGGGGAGTAAATGGGAATGCCACCCAGCTTTGGCACGTTCTTAATGAAACTCATGATTTTAATAGACTGACCTTATTACTCCTGTTAATTTATATCCTCATTAAAAGATTGTCTGCTCAATATTTGCCAAATTCTTATCAGTCTTGGGTGGCTAAACTTCCTCTTTAGCTCCTGCTGCAGCCGAGACAGGGGTCTTCTTTTCATCTGAAAAGAGTGGCCCCAGAGACCCAGGGGTGAAAATGAGTAGTGGCCGTGGCAGTCTGTGGACATTAAGACTGTTCCAGGGCACTTGGCTTCAATGGTGTCAGGCTAAGAACAGGCTTTAAGTAGCACATGAAAAGAGAAATAAGGCTTATCTGCTAATCCAGCACACTTCTCCATCTCACAAAGAAAAGCCTAGTTGCATATTTTAGCTCCTGTCAACCTCATTTTCAGACCTTGGGCGGGACAGCTGTACTCTAGGTGACACCTTGGAAAGAGGAATGGCGTGGAAAGATCTTTGTGCCAGAGTCCAGGAATATTGCACCCGAGCCACCATGGATTTGCCCAGTGAGCCCTGCACCCAAATTTGGTTCTCCCTGTCATTTTGGTCCAAAAATGTTATGAAGACAAAAGATCTCTCTCTCTTTGGGATCTGAGGGTGGCAGGAACCCTGCATGCCCAGGAATGGTAATCATACTGTTGATGGGTGCCCACTGATGGATCCTTAAGCAAACCTAATAGCCTGGCAGCTCCCTAGAGCTGGACCAAGGGCACATTGTCCTGTGAGAAGGATAGCAGGCTTTCCTCATCTTTATATAGATAGATGTGTGAGCTCCAGATAGCTGGTGAAAGAAATAACAACTGATGTAACATTGTAGCTTCTAGGCTAGCTGGGTCCCAGGATCCCTGGTCTTCCCTGAGAAACTTGAGGGCTGTGGGCAGAGAGCTGCCCCTATTGAGCTGTACAGATTAGAGGCAGGGAAGCAACTGAGGAGAAAGATGCTGCACTTGGGAAGCACAGCTTTTCAGCGTGTGGGAGCTCTGCTGAGCGCGCATCTCTCCTCTGCATGGGTGATGAGTGGCCCAGGCTTAGTCTTGAGCTGCTCAGGTCTTTCCCCTCATATCTGCTGCCCTCTGAAGATTACTCTGGAAACAAATTCTGCACAAGGC